TAAGATAGCTTCCCTACGGATTATCCGCACGGAATTTCGCAACGAGTTTTTATTTTCCGTCGGGGAAACTTTCGTTTGCCATAAGAGTCAGCCTCATTAGGCAAAAGAGGCTGCGCCGGTGGTTGAACCGGCCTCATTCGGCAAAAGAGGCTGCGCCGATGGTTGAACCGGCCTCATCATCTGTGCCGCCTGTGGAAGCTTCCACAGCTGGTGTAGTGGTGCAAGCGGCAAAAGCGGCATACGTGGCGACAATCGGCAGCGGTGGCAGGTGGCGGGGGCGGAGCGTCTGTGGTGGGCGAGGAGGTTGAGGCTCAAAGGGGAGGGCAGCCATCAGAGCCGGTGGTAGACAACACGTTGCCATCATCACCAGCGGCTGGTGAGGAGGAGGGGGAGAGGAAATAAGTAAAGCAGACCACCCCACCAACGCCTGCGGTAGACACAGTACAAGCACAGCAGCAGCAGCGGCACCTGCCTCGCCCAACCACACTCTCGCCAGTGGCAGGGACAATACAAGCAACACGCCTACGGTCGAGCCCGTTACCGTCACCTCCTTTTCGCAGCAGATGTGTTAGCGGTGGGAGCGGAGGCTAGCGGTGGTGGGGTCGGCGAAAAGAGGGTCTGCGACGGCGGCGGTGGTTCGCGGATCAAGCGTGATGGGACTTCCACCGGTAAGCAAAAAAGCAGGTGATTTTTAGTCTGTATTGACCTAGCATGGAAATGTGGATGTGGCACTGAAGCATGTACGTTGCAATACACTTGATGCATGTACATATACAGGTCCTACACGTATCCCTCGCCTTTCTTCTCAACGCATCCCCGGAGGTGTCGAGTTCATGTTTGTTCTTCTCATGTCCTTCTCTTTTTTCCCTCTCAAACGACAGATTCATTGGTTAACAAGCGGCGCCTAGGAGCCTTCAACATCACTAAGGATCGGTTTTGGTTTGCGTCTACACTTGAGCTGCAGCTGGCACTGGGCTTGTGCTAGGCATGCCGAGGCTTCCCGGCGCTGAGGGTGTGGGTTGAAGAAGAAACATCACCCACTTTACGGAGTTGTGTGGCTGGCGTCCATGCAGCGGCTGTCGTTGGGGGGGCAGATTCAAGCAGCCCATCGGCGCCGAGGTGGTTTAACTCTTGTACCGTTTTGAAACAGGGGTGGTAGTTCGGGGACCCGCGCCTGCATCACGCGGCCATTTTTCCGAATTTAGTATTCTGCCGGCTTGGAGCACAGTGGCGCTCTTCGGGACATGTTGGTTCTATGCATTCAGGAACATCCGTCGTCACAGATGGGTGTCATGTGATGCTGCGTTTCGGGGGGTCTCATCGCTGCAGAAACAGGGAGCGTGCCAGGTTCCGTTTTTCTGCGATTCTTGCTGATCTATATATATTTCCTGCCTGTTGTCTGGGCTTATCTCATGCTTGTGTTTGTCTGATTTTCTAACAACACACGGAGGGTGTCTCCGGTCGGTTGGATCAGTCCGGATGAAGAGAGTATTGCGCAGAGATCGAGACCATTTTTAGGGAGAAGACACCAACAACGCCCCAAACGAATTGTCGCGTTACAGTACGGGCCCCCGAACACCCAACTACGCCACCAAACGGTGATGGGGAGAGCTATCGCCGAAAGAAACTGCCTAGAATCTCGACCAAAACCAAATCGCTTCTAGTGTCAAGCTTGCTGCGCTCCCGCGACCTCCTTGGTCACCGCCCTTGGTTGTACACCCTCTTCCCCCGCAGAGATACGGTTCTTAAAACAGGCCTTCTTGACTACCAATTCGCACTGAACAACACTACAGCAAGGCATGTCTATTAACAATGGTCGCAGCCGTTCATCTTCTCCTCGACGGTGGCGATCTGGGCGAGGGGGCGGCGTAGCTTCCAGCGCCTGTTCGAATTCCAGCGAGCAACGCTAAATTGTTTGAGTCGAGCTAATCGGGATCATTGAGCGCCGCCGAAACAGAGGGTGGTACAGCAACGGTTGGCTAGCGATGGCGCACTTCCGGAGTCTGGTCGCCGGTGAAATAGTCTGGTGCAAAGTGGTAGAGGCGGTGCCGATCGTCCAGTTCATGCTACTTTGGCGCGCTCCGGCTGGCCAAAACAAACTCAGTAATTTGTCGGCCCAGCACTGCGCTGGCGGTGACTTGCCGTGGAAAATAGGAGGGGGGCGCATCTGGTGTCAACTGGTCTCACCTGGAGGTTTTCGTTCTGGCCTCGATCGATCGCAAACGTGGCGCAGCTTCTATCACTTTAGCTTCCTCCTTGCATCGCTCCCTCCCTTCCCGCGGAGTCTGGAAAACAAACACGGGGTCGGGCATTACACGGTGTTTGTGGATTGTGGTACAGGAAAGAAAAGAAAAGAAAATTACCCCTTCCGCAAACTTCCAACCCTACGAAGAGTCTGCCATACTTGGCTCTGAGCCTGATGAGCCCTTTTTTCCTCGCCTTGTTACAAGGGTGGTCAAAGTCCCGAGACAAGCCTGAAAGGCGGCGTCGTCGATCGTGTCTCGGTGGCTGATCTCTCTCGCCGCCCGGGACCTTTGATCGCGAAGGGTTTGGGGTACACGCGCCGTTGAAACAGGGGCGGGCGATGGTGCGTCATAAGGGCAATGTTTACGCCAAACTTGCGAGCAGGAACATGTGTTTCCATGCGCACAATACCACCATGGACACCAGATCGTCCACCCGACAGCGCCAGGCGAAGAGGGCTCGCATTGGTCCCGCCGTTTTCAACCATGCAACGGACAGCGAGTGCGACGCGTACTTGAACATGATGGTGCAACACGAGTTGGTAATGCTCTCGAGGAAAAACGATATCGAACTCGCTAAACAACGAGTCATGGCCGAATTGGACATCGTCATGACGTTGAAGGAGGCGTACGAAAAAGTTGGGTTGTACGAAACGAGGGAGAGGGTTGGGCTTGCTGATATCATCACAGAGATTCAACGTCGCGCGTTCCCTCGCACCGAAGGTTGATAGGTATCGTTGTATGGTCGGACGGCAGTGGCGGGCTGGGCTGACGTTGCGATGTAAACTGTAACCATTCCTCCACTTTTTCTCGAGACCACCGCATCGCCGCCGGGCGGCTAGTGTCTACGCTTAACTTGAGAGTTGGAAGGCGTGTACGCGATGCTCACAACCAACAGGCGCCGCGTTGAACAGCACAAAATAAAAATGTGCCTTGTGAATAATACAAAATATAAATCATGATCAACATCACGATCGACGCTTCCACGGGGGACAGTAGGTGCAAAGCGTGATCGAATACATCATGCCGAACCTACACAACTCGAGTATTCTGAAAGCAGTCCACCGAACCCTCGACGGCTACGATGGCCCAAAGAAGCCCACGCGTCTCATAAATAGCAGACAGATAGATGTCTGTTGCCACTCTGGTTGTGCTACGACATCCTTGAAAAAACGAGCAGTCCCAAGTGGCGCGAGGAGTCTGGCCAGGCGTTCAAACAGGCCCTGCGCGAGCGTGTGGAAAATGTTCACCCCTCTAGCCAAACGCAGCAACCCCAGCCGAGGGAACAGCAGGCGGAAGAAAGCATGCAGTCGAGCAGGTTGAAACGAAAGCTTCTGTCCTGCAGAAAGCTCTACGGTCCATCAACATCATTGGCTCCGTCAAGATCGACAAATATACGGGCTAAGCTAGCAGTATTGATGTGATTCGGCTATGGTGTCCCGAGGCCTCTGGTGAATATGCTGCGCAAATGTTTTCTCGCGCCCTTAAAAAGGATGATCGTGTAACATCGATTGAGTCCAGTATCAAGAACATCAAAATCAACGGCTGTGGGCGCACTACATCGGTTGCTAACTTTAACACCCGGGTGGAGGTTTTGTGGATGCCAAGTGGTGCCTCGAGAGCTCTTCGTCGTGAATCTATGGAGGCAGTGTTCCGTACAATGAGAGGTGATCTCGGTCTTTGTCGCCAGATTGAGCAGAACAACCTGGTGTAAGGGTCTGTCGAAGGAGGAGAAGCCTTTCGACAAGCTCTGCTTCAGCCGGTGGAGTACAAGAAAGACGGGGAGTCAACAAGAGTGAAGGAAAGTTCCGTGACAGACGTTCTTGCTTCTCTCATTGGAGGAAAACGTGAGGTGGATACACCCTCGGGTTTCGTTGATATGCCCAGCGATGCCGTGATCGAGGTGAAGTACCACAATCGATGGAAGCATGGGCTCGGGCAGGTGCTCGCGTACCAACCACACCTCTCGTCTGGCAGGCGTCTGCACCTCTTTGCATACATTGGAGATAAAGATACCGACAAGTACTTCGAGATGGCGAAGTCAGTGTGTTATGCGCACGCGGTGAACGATACGTTCGAGTAGGTTGGCGTAGAAGAACCAGCGCTTGATCTGGACGCCGATGATGCCAGCACCGTTGTTGGTGATAGCAGGGCTCGTATTGAAAACGAGTGGGATGTACGCATGCGCGTTGCCGAGGAAAAGGAGAAAGGTCGTTTACCAATCTAAGCAGCATGACGAGCCATGATGGTTCGAACACTCATCGGTTGAAGAGAAGAGGGCCTATGCTTCCCTGAAGGTCAGGACGAGCATAGCGCTGGGAGAGATCGACATCTTGAAATACTGTAAAGAGCAATTGGCGTCGGTGGGGCGTTTCTACGAACTCGACAAAGACGAGTTCGCGGAAAGGATCAGGGGTGTCCAGTGGCGTTTTACTACGGCTGCCGGTGGGCGAAGCTTCGGCGAAGCTTCGGCGATATGATACCGCTACAGGATTTTGGGCAAGTAAGCTGTGGCGGCACCAAGCGGGAAAATTATTTTGCGTACAAAGTATTACAATGTGATTCGTACGTTGGACGCCCCTAACTTGCTGATGCTGGACTGATTGAGCAAGCGATTTCTATCGTCTGCGTGCCGACGGTGTGAGCGCTCCGTCTCGTTCATTTACCAACAAATATAATGTTTGCTGAGCCTACTAACATCATGGCCACCGCAACGAGCCTCGACAATGCCACTATTCGCGTCGACCATGCCTCCAAAAGGGCATCGCTGGTAGATGTTGCAAAGATGGTATTGGACTGTGGCGAAGACCAAGCCAAAGCTGAGCTGAACAAGCTGCTCGGGCCAACCGCTGACGCGGACGAAGACTGTCCGAGACTTCAAATCGACAACAGGGGAGGGTATACGCAAGTCGCGAACGTTGATTTTCTGATCGAAATCATCTGGTTGCTACCGGGCGCAATCCCGGACGACGTTCGCCGGAAGATGTGCAACGCGGTGTGCCGTTTGTGCGACGGGGATGCAAGCCTGGTGACCGATACTGAGGCGCGTCATATCGCTATGCGAGAGGCGAGCCTACGCGCCCACGCTCAGGGGGGCGAGAAGGACAACATGCCGGCCGGCTTTGAGCTTTTAGGGGTCCGAGATAAACAAGAGCTCGCAAAGGAAATGGTGCAACAGTTCCTCAAGGGCGGGGATCAGGACCTCCGGCGGAAGGCCCTCGAACTTGAAGAACGGAAGATCTCGCTAAAACGCAAACGCTGTGACACTGTTATCTGTATGTACCGATCCTTAGAGGAGCTTGATATCACGCTCGATTCGCGCGCTCAAGTTCACATCTTGGACACGATAGCCCAAATCACCAAACCAGACATTAGCGAGGTGGTGTAACCTAAATTAAAATTTGCACTAAACTTTCGCAGCTAAAACACCATTCACTCTAACCACAAACTGCGACAAAGATGTTGGCTTGGCTCATCGGCTGCAGCACACACGGTGTTTCGCAGGAAATGCTGGCGAAGACGAAAGATGCTCTCAGGCTGCTCAATGACCTCACGTCCGACGGCATCATTGGAGACGACTTCTACCAAGCGCCTGACTTTGCTGCTGGATTTCAGGCCCTTCTTCAAAGCGAAGGAACACATTTGGTTGATCACGACAGGGTACAAAATTCGGCAGGCCCACGACGAAGCGTTTTGCGAGCTCAGAGCGTGTCAACTCCCATTTCCGGTCGAGGTCGAGTACGGCAAGGCCAAGCGGGCGGCCAAGGATGTAAAATTCACATGTAACGGCATCAAGCACAAATTCACAGGGTGGGGGAAGCACACTCAGGAGCGGATCGACGAGGCGTGGGCCACGCTCGAGGAGGGCACCATAGATATCGAGCCGCTTCCCCCGGCTACATGCGGTTGCAGGGCGATTCGCGCGCAGCTTTTTGTTGCGGAGAAGAAAGAGGGTTCGTCGACGGCTGTTGTTAATGGATAAGATCAATAGTGTGTGCTGTTGCTTTTGAGTCAGATTGTGAGATGGATTCTTTGCAGACGCTGGCCTGCCATTCTTTTTTGGGACACTCAATTGTTGGTACGGAAATACCTCACGACATCCCGGGCACTTTGCGCCTGTGGGTGAGTGCGTGGGCCAAGTGCGTGGGGTTGAACAATAATGCAGACGTTTTGCAGATGGTACACGAATGCATAGAGCGCGGATCGTCCAGCACTGTGGACATTCGCCATGCCACGAGTCGTTGTGACGGGGACAAAGCGTCACAATTCAACGACACGACGATCAGCATGTTGTTGGGATGGACGTGGCGAGTTAAAAACTTCGCGCTCATCAGGCAGAGGATTTGTGCAGAAGAGCAGAAAGAAGCCGAGTTTCAGCGCCGGTACCGCGTGGTAAAAAAACGAGGTGGTTGAAACACAAGGTGACATTCGCCGCTGCGAGGACAGTGCGGAGTACATGTTACAGATTCGGTCACGATTGAGTACCTCCCGAGGGGGATACGGAAGAAGTGTGTTACGCGACTGGTGGAAGATGGTGTTCTTGATGATGATTTTGAATTTCAGTGATCTGTCTGCTCGGCGCTTCTCGGGAGCTTTTATCGATGCTGGAATAGGGAATGATGAACGCGTCTGTTGCGTATAGGCGCCGCTGCAGACAGTTCCTGTTTGCTTTTTGGGCGAAGTACCACAAGTGCCGCCGTGTCGTGCAACGAGCACTAACTATCCATCGAGATGATAACCGGTGCACTAAGCACTAGCATTGAAATACTGCCGTTTGGCTTCAGCGCTCAGGTTTCTGCTGTTATTTGCTATGGCAGCAGCAGCTGCTGCTCATTTTGCAGTTCTGCTGAATCGATAGCATCCTTCAAACCTTCACGCATGTAAAGCACACCGACCCCAGGAGCGATGAAGCCAACCTTCTAAGTGCCGTCGCCGCCGCCGTCACCGCCGCAGGAAAAAGGGAAACGGACACGTGCCACCCCTATAAAAATGCCATGCAGCTCACCGTCATGTTGTTTTCCAGGCCCAATGACCGCCTCCCTCATCGCCTCCGCCTAGGCCTCCGCGCCAGTGCTTGCTCC